CGCTTGAAAGCTACAAGCCAGAAGGAAAAAAATTGGATAAAAAACAAAAAATATTAAGTTTAGCTTAACTGAATCTTTACCCACGATCTATTTGTAGTGTGAGAGCGAGAGATAGACAAAGGCAACAGACAGATTGTTTTTGATATGTTAATCATTATGGTTTCTGTACGAGTGTACGTAGGTCAGTAAACAGTAGCGATTCTACGGGGAGGCAGAAGGGGTCAATGCCACCAACCCCTACCCCGAATTTTGGCTGACCCTTCGGTTGCCCCCCCCCCCACTTTTCTAAGTTTTGTAGAGGAAAAAAAATCAGAGCAGACAAATTACACTGTTCTGCTAGTATTGACGTTAGTATTAAGTCTTTGATTTTGTTTTGAGGTTAAACATCTCTTGTGGCCCAACAGCTTGAGAGTGGAAAAGAGGGCAAGAATAGATTAAAACTCCACTACTATGAATGAAAAGATATTCTGTTTAATTTAGTGAAGTAACATACTTACAGTAAAACTCATTCTTAAGTTGTGTATACGATAGTGGTGTAGTATGAAAATAAAGACACTGCTTGAATTTGCCCCCCCATCTTCCGCAGAAAAATTTCTCTGTTAAAAAAAACAATGATGTTTACTCAAACTCGTGTATCCACTAAATATAGCGTTTATATATATATATGAGAGAGCGAGCGCGATATTAGAATTATTAGTTAAAGCCAATTTTCTTTCTTTGTACATTTTGTCAATACCAGAACTTTATATCCCACAGTTCGCATTTTTTTGTTTGTTGCTGAATAATCAAAATAAAGTGTAACCCGGATATAAGAGATTTTCTCTGGTCCCAAATTAGAGCATGTGTTAATGTATATAAAATAGGCCAAACCCGGATATAAGAGAAACCCGGATATAAGAGACTTCTCCGGTCCCGACAACTCTTATATCCGGGTTACACTGTATTTAAAAACTTAAAAATTAGAAGTTAATTGCATATCCATTCTTTTGATTGTTTTTGTTTATCATATATTTTCAGAAATAACCTTTTTTTTTGTGTTAGCAATTGTACCAATGATTGATAAAATTAAAATATTTACCAGATAGTTGCTTGATTGAAAAACAAAAAATAAATTATGTCAATTTTTTAATATGCTGTATGATATCAACGTGTTAGAGCTTTGGCTTGAATCGAAGTTTTTCCTTCGGTAAAAATATTCTGAAAGCAAATTTGTCTTAAAAGACAGATCTCCAAGAGACAATAAATCAAGCCAAAATATGCATTTAACTGACAAGAACAAAATCAAAACCGGTCAAAATGCGGATGAGCACATCTAAAACCCATCAGTCAGCGAAATGGAAGCAGTGTCTTTATAAAAGAAAATTAAAAAAAAAACCTGCTCTCATGTCAATTACGGACTGGCGATTCTTCGTCTATCAGTATGTTTAGTTTTTTGTAATATGTCTAATATAACACGAAATATAGCTACCGTGAGAGGAGGTGACTACGACCCTATCGTTGGGGCTACGGTGCGCTGAATAAGAAGAATGCATACGTTGTTTATTGCATATTATTCGTTAATTCTAACTCAGACATAGGTATTATTTAAAACAGTAAATTTAGAAAAGCCGTGTGGTTAGCGTAACGGTTATCCGTCCGGAAATCGGAATCAGCGTGCATAGTTCAAATTCTGACAGTCTCTTTCGTTTACTCCGCACTGTTGCTCTTGGAAAAGGCATGAATCCATCTTTCTCCGTCTATAGATTAAATAGGAGGGTAGACTGTGCTCTCTAGTTTGGGCTGGCTGCCATTCCAGAATTCCTGAAAACTCAGACTCTCATAAATAATAGTGTAGGCTGGACCCCTTTAGCTTTGGTAGGGCAACCAGTCTTGAAAGACAACACTAATTCATTCCACCCTGAAGAGGAATGAACTCTGCTAGATTGACTTGCCTTAAACATAATCATTGCTATTACAGCTGCGGTACATGCGTTGCCCTTACGAGGCGAGTGGTTGTATTTGAAGCATTATTTGACACGCTAATTCATGAGAACTTCAATTTTATTCAATAAAGTGCTTTCAAATAATATTAACTCGTTTACCTCTACCTTCAAAAAGTGACAAATTATATTTACATAGTTTTGCATTGATTATATTTTCTACACAATCTAGGATTTTATATATACAATGAGTTCTATTATCTTTTGTAAAGAAAAAAAATCTGCCTTTTAAATCGAAACTAAAAATATCCAAAGAACGATAAGAAACTAAAGAGAGAAAAAAAGCAATTAGCAGCCTGATATCTCCTACTTAATAATGGGATATTCATTATGGTAACATGTTGTATATTAGTTTATTGGCGTCTAGTAAAACCGCCTGCTGTCATAACTACGGAATATGTCGTTACTAAAAAGGGGAAGATCAAGCTGTATGATCGATAAACATATATAGTTACATCGTGTTTTATATTATGCGATTGATTTTTATACCTTTTTCCTTCTTATTTCTGCTGCTAACCATCGGATTGTCCTTCTGCAATACTCGGAAGTTTCTTTACTTCCGATTCATGTTGCCTACTGAACATCGTAAAATGACGATCTAAGAATTGCAATGGAAAACAGACGAGAGAATTACTTTTAAAATATTGATAACGAAATATCAATGCTTGAAATAATCATTTTCCTTTATAAAAATTAATTTTTATTTCAAACATTGTTATACTCGTGTATAAGCAGACTTCATGTATAGTGCGATCCCTGTATTGTTTTATGAAAAACCTGATTTTTTTTTCATATAGCTCGTGTATAATGCTACCCCTCCCACTTCGAATCAATACTAGTAGCCCTACTGTAGTCAAATATTGCAATACTAGGCAATATCCTGAACATATTTTATAGCAAATAAATGGTTCATTCGTTTTTTGTACAAAACTACCCCAAAATGGTGAAAAAAATCACTTACCGTAAAATATCTGATACGAAAATTTACCTACCGTACTTTTGTCTTCATTCATGCCTGATTGTTAACCTCTTCATAAAATTACTTGTGTATAGTGCGACACCCTATTTTTTGTTTAAAAAAATCGGGATACACTGGAGTATATACGGTGTAATTGTGGTTCATAGAGACATTCAAAGCAAAGTAGGGCAGTGGCTTGTTAGAGAAGTTAAAGGCGGCAGATGGTTTGAATTTAGGGTTTTTCCAAGGGTCCAGTCTGCCCTGCCATTTACCCATAGGTAGGGGGAAGAGATAGATTCATACTTTTCTCAAGCGTATTAGCACATAAGTGAATGCAATGAAATCGACTAGAATTTGAACTCGACTCTCCGATTGAAATGGGAGAGCCGAGTTCGAATTCCAGTCGATTTGATTGTATTCACTTATGTGCCACTACTCATTACTCCACTGTTCCTTTGGATTACATAATTCTGAAATATCGTCAGATCACTTTATTATAAGTTCTGATCAGTAAATGTAATATTTAAACCCTCACTTTTTAATGCATTTTTCTCCTGTCGATGTTCAAACATAGCTTTTAAAAAAGTGGGTTTTGAAAGTCAACTTTCATTATAAACAGGCATGCTTTCACAACTGGAAAGTTTGATGCAATAAAACATGTCTTACGCCGCGTAAACTAAGTGAATATTTATTCAAATCAAATATTGTCTTTATCATTTGTTTTATTTTGGGGCGGATGTTGTAAATTGTGGCAGCTACCTTGATACTTCCAGACAAAGCTTTAAAAATTTTTAGAATTTTAAGAACCATTCTAGATATATGCTTAATGATTTTCTTCCGATGCTAGCTAATAAAAATGGGTCCTTGGTAATGGAGCAGCGATCAAAAATGTCTCCCTTTCATCAAATACTTTTTGGTCCGCCAGTTCATCATAAAAATGAAATGAAGATTAACAAATGAATAATTTTAGGTAAGATAAATCTATAAGCCAAGCATTATAATTAGTGACTTGCGGCTTCCTATTCTAAATGTAAAGAAAAAATCGGAATTTGCATGTTGTTTTGCTAAGCGGGATTATCCTTCTGTACGATCTGGCCTAGGTAGACTGCCCCGACACAGGAGAGGTAAACACACGAGAGAAGCCAAGGGTTGCATTGTATATGAATGACTATTTAAGAAGATTTACTTGCTTTTAATTACTACTTGATTCTGCTTGCTTGCTCCTCTTCATGAGGAATAAGTTAATCGTGCACGTATATTTTTCTCTTTCTCTTAAAATAACAAAGGATACTACTAACATTTCTTTTCCGGTGGTTACGTATTTGGTTTAAAATCTTTTACACGTTTTTTGTTTTGTTTTACGTGAATGTGGCATTAGAGATAGACCAGTCCAACCTACTACCGCTGACGGCCAAAAGCCAGATACAAATTTCACTTCTGTCGTCCGCCATTATTACAGCTGATTTTTACCTGTTCCTCCTTTCACGAGTCGGCATAGCTTGTTGCTTTGGTTTTTTTACCATAAATTGAAACTACTTAATCTTACGGCAGTCATTCCTTATTCGCCTGTCCCTTCTCACTTTCGTCTTTTTTTATTTTATATTGAAGCGTACACACCTGCTTACATATAACAAATATTAAGCTGATTTCTTGTTACGAACAGCTGTTTTTAAACAACTTATTGCCTTTTGATAATTTTATTGTTCTGAAAGCGCTATTTTAAAAGGAAGACTTAAGAAAAAAACGTTGAACAAAACAGTGGCACGAAATATCGGATTTTAAGCTTATATCGCCAGAATTTTCAACCATCATATTAGATAAATTACAACCCAAAAGAAAATCCTCTGATCAACATTGTTTTCTTGTTTACTCGTTTTGTTTTTCTAAAAAGAAAAATTTCAACTATTTCGATATTTTTCACTGAAATCTTTCAGAATTTAGAAGAATTATCATGTTCCTGACGGGTTTTCTTCCACAAGAGTCTGTATTTTCATATTCATTAAACCTACTTTGAACGTTTTGCTATAATGGTTGTATCATTACCATTCTACATCACTATTCAGGCATCCAATGAAGCCGAGACGCGGACTAAGAAATTCGATGACCTTTATGAGGATCTCGAAGATTTCTACAACACGGTGGAAGAGCTTGACCAATGGATGGACACGGCTATCGAGAAGGGACACAGTATCAAGGTGTCAGAACAAGATCCAGAGGTCCAATACGAATTATTCCAGGTTAGTAGCTTTGTATTTTTCTATTTCACTTTTAAATAAAATGTACAAATTTCTTTTCTTTTTGACGAAATATAACCAGATTAAAAATAGTTTCGAATACTAACAGCATTTTTTTTCTTTTTCTGTGGGTGTTTGTTCTTGGAAAAGCATAAGCAGAAATTATTCTGCACTTTTATCTCGCTGTCAATCAACTGACTTACGAATTATGAAAATAGTGTCCTTGTCTATTCTATAAAAAGAAAAAAATAATTTACATAAAGTTCTGATCAATCGATCTAGTTCAAAATCTCAAGGTGTGTACTTTCTAGAATTTTATCCTTCTAATATTACACTGTAATTTTCGAAAATTGAAGAAAAAAAAAGTAACAACAAACTACCACGCGCACTTTAATTTATTGTAGCTGTACAGATTGACATATTAAATGACCACAAGCATTCTTTTTATAACAATTGTTGCTGCAACTTAAAAATCTTAAAACTTGGAGACAATTTAAGCATTGAAGTGATCATAAGAGGATATCGGTATGAATTTCATTTACTTCTAAGATAACCGTAATCGCTATTCCTAGTTTTATTTCTTAAACTGACATGGATAGCGTGTTGGAACCGAAGTTCGAATTCCAGTCGGTTTCGTTACATTTACTTATGGATACATACCTTGGGGAAAGTATGAATCCACCTCTCCTCTCCCTAGCTATAGGTCAAATAATAGAACTTGTAACTGGAAAAATCATTATTATTCACAAAAAATTATTGCAATATTCACACGCAAAATTTATATTCATACAATCCAAAATGTTGCGGATCTAAATAACCCACAAAAGGTTGATAAACCGTAAATAACAAATCAAACGATCAATCTTTAATTGCTCGAGTTAGCCTAAATATACTATTTATATAACGCATGATATCAGTAGTAAGATACGCCGTAACTTTCACTTAATCATTATATTAATGCTGGCACCACCAATTTTGATGGAAAGTAGAAAAATAAAATTATGATCACGTTTAAGTTTAGCGTCGAATACATTTAAGCCTCGTATATTTTATAAAGTTACTTTTTTATCTTTGTCCATGGATTTTACTATTTCTCTCCCACTAATTTAACTTTAGTCAATTTCTGTATTAAAATTTTTTGATATTAGGAAAAACATTGAATTTTTGTTTTTTTGTTTTTCTTCGTTTTCGTTTTTAACAAAATATATTTTAACAAGTTTCAGCATTCGATTTGTTCGTTGCGAATTGAAAAGCAGGTTTTTTTTTTTTTTTTTTTTTTTTTCAGCTTTTAGGAAGTAATGCAAGCTTTGCTGGTAATAAATAGTTCAATGCAAATGCATTGAAAATCAAGAAGAATGGATTGTCAGTGGCCAAGAACAGCCTGAATAAATCTATTTATGCTTAATTCCTTTAATTAATTTATTTTTTTATTTTATTTTTTTCTGTTACAGTATTCAAACTTTGGTAACATAAGTAAATTCGTTCATTTTGTTTCTATTGTGACTGATTAATTACAGTAGCTATTTTCAATAAATCAAAGACGTTTTCATCAGGATAGTTTTAATCAGTAAGATAAAAACATTAATCTTACTGCTTAATCAAGTTAATTTGACCTCGACATTTTTTAAATTTGGTAATTCAACACGGCTTAATATCGATTTAAATAACGAGATGTGCATCTTGAATAACTAACTGGCCTGAAAGATTTTGGAGGAGTATTAATAATTACTACTATTAGCAGCAACAAGTTACAGCCTAAATCTGTTGAAACACGTGCTAAACTTTGAATTATATTTACGCAATCGCTTTCTCTTTCGTTATAATTGGTTACTATCTGGGAAAATCTTTGATGCGTGTATTTGTTTAAAAACAGAAGAGCAGCTAAATAGATATATTCACAAAAGCCTTTCAGAAAGTGAAATTGCTATTATTTGTACATCTTTATAAAAAAAAAAATCAAATTCATCTTTAATTAAAAAAAAAAAATGCTACGTCGAATATTTAGGCATAGCTATTAATTTGGTGCTCACCCCTTCACTGTCGAAACTCATAAATGTAGCCGTCTCTTCTACTCTAATAGCTTCATGTCTCGCACCTCTCGCCTGTGGAACTATCTTCCCTTCTCCTGTTTCCCTGAGAGTTATAATCTCCAGCTATTCAAGTGTAATGTCAATCGACATCTCCAGTTGCCTTAATCTATCTACTACCCTCATCCTTTCTTCTATCACTCCTATCTGATCTTCCTATTTTCTGTAACCCCTTGCGTCCTAGTGGCTCCCCGCCTTGCTTGGGGTGAAATGCTTAAAAAAAAAAAAAAAAAAGTAGCATAATGGTTATCGACTCGGAAAATGGAATCAGCAGGCTGAGTTCAAATTCTGGCCATTATGCTTTTGCAAAAAGCTTGATGCTATCTTTTATTACGCCCACCATAGGTAAGATATTTAAGGCAAACAAGGTTATTTCGCCGTGATAAGACACCCAATTTAGAAGCTGGACAATCCTGAATTCAAAATTCTTAACATGTTATGGTGCAGTGTGGTAAAGATTACGCCCCCATAAATGGTAAAATATTTTTTTTTATTCAGCCTCAATCGAGATCCTAATCCACAATCCCGCACTTCAATTAACTGCAACCCCCATAATCCTTTCAATTTTTCTGTAGTATGTGCCTCTCCTGGGCTAAGAGTAAAGGTTTCTCACTTGTTTCCTGTTTAGGATTGAGTTTCCGGTTCCTACTAAAGTCTACTCTGTACTTCTAACGTCTGTCTGAACTCTGAAATTTTATTTACTAATTATTTATTTATTAATAGTAGTAGGTAGGTTCCCCTATTGTCCGGTTCACACTCCACCTCTATCTTTTATATAGGAATAGAAGTTTATACCTTGTTTCCTGTTTAGGATTGAGTTTCCGTTTCTTTCTAAAATCTTTTCATTCTCTTTCACTTCCAATGGCCCCCTTGCGTCTTGGTGGCATTGTCACTTTTCTTGGGGTGAAGTGATTAAAAATATCTCCATAAACTGTGTCGCCTACTCTGTAAAACTCTACATCGAGTGGCTCTTGTGCAGGGACGAACATCATTGTAAAGAACATCATTGTATCATCAATAATACTATCTACAGATTCAGTCCTAATCTGCGATTGTTCACAGTTAACTGACACAAATCGATTTTTACCTAGAGATTAACCTGTTTTGTATTACCTAGTCTGTTTTTTTTTTTTTTTTTTTTTTTTTTTTTTCTCATCTTTTTTAGATATCAAAAGGTACGCGAGCATTTGCAAATGCTACAAGTCTCATTGTTAAGATTAGCGCAGTTTTGCTTTCTATGATGATCGCTGCTTCTTAGGGCAGACTACATAAATTAATTCAACAATCAAGAAAATCATCTTTGGCGGTCAATCGATTTTTAAGCCTGCGTCTTCTCGGAGGGTGAAGCGAAATGTTTGCAACGCTACGAGCGGGAAATGGTCGATGAGGCAGGATGTCTCGAGGAAAGTTCAAATTATATAACGTTATTTTTACTGGAAACTCGTTTTTGAATAAACGCTCCGTTTATTTATTAAACAGTATATTTATTTTCATCTACAGATCTGAATATTAGAAAAAAAATTTTAGAAAAATATGCGCTCTCTGGAAGTAATGAAACCTGCTTTCCCTGAGTGTTAACAGTCATAAATCGGGTACGGAATGCGTCGATACACAAGCAAACTCGAATAGTGCATTTAAACTCAAACTATCGAAATGGATATCTGCTCAGTTTCGTATCCAAACGTAAACAAAAAAAATTTCTAAAGAAAGAGATGGATTTTTTTTTTATTTATTAATCCGGCAGGCTTTTATTACTTAAACGTTATTTTTAGTGGATAGGCTCCATTTATTTATTAAACAGTACTTATTTCCGTCTACCTACTTGAATATTCGAGAAATCTTATTAAAGAAAATATGCGCTCTCCGGAAGGATTCGGGCCTGCGTCCTTCAGGTTAAGGCAAGTCGTTAGATCCGATTTGCCTTAACCAATTTGGTCACGGAGCATACTTGCTGATCAAGCAAAATTTGAAACGTATCTTTAAGCAAAATCCCTCTTGTATTAAATTCCTCGAATTTTTCATATCAGCTCAGTTTCGTATCCAAACGTAAACAAAGTAATTATATGATAAAATGTCCTGAAGATTGCGTTCACGCATACGAAACAGATTTCCGTCCCTTGTTGTTGACTTCAGTGTCCACTTATTTATGCATGTATGACAAAGTGGAGAACGTTTTCGTGTGACGCGTTTCGTCTCTTAGTACTTCGTCGGACAAGGTTTGTACGTTGATGCGATTACACACGCGCATGAAAGAAAGACGCTCGGAAGTCTCATCAACGTTAAAAAAAAAAAAAACCTAGTCCGATGAAGTTCTAAGGGACCTCACACGAAAACTTTTCCACTCTGTCATACATCTTCCCTTCAAAAGTATTCGTGATAAATAAAAATTTACATATCATTATTCCCCACACACACGTGTGTGTGTGTGTGTGTGTATACACACACAATTATAAATTGTATTTAAATAGTCTTTGTTACCGACCACTCATATTTTTCCAGTATAGAAGGTTCTCGATCACCTAAGTTAAGCATTGCCGAACCCGATCAGTAGTTAGATGGGGGAACGCTTGGGAACACCAGGTACTGCAAACAACCTCCTGCGACCTGAAATATGTTTCGGCTTTAAATAACCTACAAATGGTTGATAAGCGGTTAAAAAAAAACATCGGTCTGGTAGTCTTACGGACACATCAGTTAGAAACACCGGTTGCTGTACGATAACCAAAGTTAAGTTACGTCAAGCCTGATCAGTACCTAGAGGAGTGACCGTTTGGGAATAACAGGTGCTTGAATGTGCGGATGGTGTAATGGATAATGGCTCGGAATTCTTAATCGGAGAGTCAAGTTTTAATTACTCACATGCAAATCCTCTTGGGGTAAGTTATGAATTCACCTCTTCCCCCCCAAGCTATGGGT